AATTACTGGCTTTTCTTTTAATCAGAATTCATTGAACTCACAATAAGTCATCTGAATTTACCAGAACACAGCTTAAATATATATCAAAGTAAAAAGACAACTGAGAAAAATGTTATTTTCACATGTGCTAAAAACAGTATTTCCAAAGCAATTTCATTTGTCATGGAGTATGTCAGGAAAGGACAGATCTTGAAATAAAACTCCTAGTCAGCATTAAAAAATTACAACTTCTAAAACAGCAAGATGAGAAAACACCAAACTACAATACCAGTATCTTCAAAGAAATCCCTATTTCTAGCCGGGCAAGGTAGCGCACACCTTTAATCCCAGCACTTGGGAGGCAGAAGCAGGCGGATCTTTGTGAGTTCAAGGCCAGCCTGGTCTACAAAGCAAGTTCCAGGACAGCCAGGGCTGTTACACAGAGAAACTCTGTCTCAGGGTGGGTGAGTAATCCCTATTTCTAAAAATTTCTAAAACACTAGAGGTATAGCTCTGGACAACTTTTCAGGCAGTCAAACATGTACATAGCAAGGCAGCTCACCAAGGCGAGGGTGGAATTAATAAAACAAGGCTGGCACAGAATATACATGGAACTCCTTCCCAACCTATCACACCATTTGGGAAATTATCCAGGTTCATGAGATTTAATATGGATTCAGAAAACAATCCATAATCTAATTCCTCACACTTAAAAACTAAATTTTAATCTTGGTATGCCATGTAAGAAAAGTACTCTCAAGTGGAACTGGAGGGATGGCTCCAAGTTCAGAGCACTTGCTGCTCATGCAGAGGACTAGAATTCAGTTCCCAGCACCCACATCAGGCAGCTTACAACTACTTTTAACTCCAGCTCCAGGAGATCTGACACCTCTTCTGGCTTCCTTGGCACCTACATTCATACATGAACAAGTGAACACACACATAAACAATTAAAATTAAAACGAATCTTTTTTTTTTTTTAAACGAATCTTTTTTAAAAGTAAAGTCAAACATTGCTTTAAAGATCTAAAGTCATCTGGCAATCACAATAATAATTTCCCTACACAAGAAAAGAACCAGCAACAGATGCTGAAACAGATGAAAGTACAAGGAAAGATGTGCAGCCTTAAACTATCTCTCCATAAAGTATTTATTCATCACAAAGGAGAAAACAGTAATTGTACAGTGCAGAAACTCAGCGGTATCACCCTCATCAAAGTAAAACCATCAAAAAGTGGCACAAAGAGATAGATAGCATGTGCCTCTGGAGAGCCTGAGAAGGCCCCAAGGTCACTGCTGTGACTCATCATGGGGAAATACTAGACAAAACAAAATTGAGGGGTGTGTGCTACCTGGCTTCTCCTCAAAAACAAGGTCTTGAAAAATAAGGACAGAGCAGCCATTCTAGATCAAAGGAACACTGCAACAGAATACAGTGTTAGAGAATAGGAAATGCCTTTGCTAGTACGGAAATTAATGCAAATGTAAATAAAGTTACAAATTTTGTAGGTTTCTCTTAAAAATTTAATTGTCTTTATGTGCACACCCACATCACTTCTCCCCTTCTACGATGATGCCATCTAATTCAGGTTCCTGACTGAGCCAACTTGTTGGCACATTTTTTTTTTTCTTATTAACATCTTTATATGTGTATATGGTGTGGGTATAGGGTCATTCACTGTGTGTGAAGATGAGAAGACAAATTACAAAGTTAGTTCTCTCCTCTCACCTTCACATAGATTCCTGTGATCAAGCTCTGGCTGCTACGCTTGTATAGTAAGCACCATTTCCCACCAAGTCATTTTTCTGGCCTCAAATTGCACAACTTCCTTAATAGCAAATGAAATAATTAACTCTGCTAAAAGGAACTCAGAATCTGCAGTAAAACAGATGCTTCTCTGCAAACTTCCCTGGTTTCAGGTAGAAGAGGTAATAAACTATACCCTGCCTTATCTTTTCCTCAACAAGACAAAAAGTCAGAGACAACTGACTGATGGAAGGGGTCTGCTGTGGCAGCTACCTTTGTAGTTGGAAGAGGTCAAAGTACACAATGCTTGGGTCCTCCAAAAACAGGATGAAATTAAAAAGGCAAGAGAGCACAAGTTTGAGTCCTGTAATCCTGAAGAGTGCAATGAAGACAGACACAGCATCTCTAAAAATCAGCAAGCAATCACAAACTATAATCCTGCTGGTTTTTCTTAAGTTGTGTCTTAGGCTTTACTACAACTATCCAGTAAACCCAGACCAGCAACCCAAACTAATATGAAACAGCCCTGGAATCTTTCAAGCCATTCGAGAGACACCTGGTCAACAACCAGCACAGCGTGAGATACTTCCTCAGTAGAGAGACAGTTAAGCTCCAGCTCCCTCAAAGGTTTCATTCCTGATCCACAGTAGGCTTCCATTAGCTTCTACAACCAATTTAGGAAGGGTGTAACCCACTGACTGACCATTAGTGCCCTGTGTGCTTTCCAGTCTCGAAAGCCTCCCTAGATCCAACTGTTCCCTAGTCCCACCCTGATGTCCTCCTCTATCTGAATCCTTAGAGACATGGCAGACATCTAACACCTGAGGTCCTGTCCAAGCCCACAAGCACTGATCCTCCCCACCATTTCCTCATGTTTCCATGGCCACCCTGTCAAAATCTACAGATGACATTCACTAATTGGTATAATCTTGTTATCTCAGCAGTTAACTATACTTTTAAGAAACTAAGTCACTACTTACAACTGCACACTATGGCTGTGTTCCAAGGACCACACTACCACCACTACCCCCCCCCCCCCCACACACACACACATTTGTTGAGTGAAAGCACAGATTGACATATAGGGATCTTACTCATACTGAAGAAGCCATAGATAACCAACAGCTAACCAGAAATCCTCCTGAACTTGGGGCACAATTTAATACATCTTCAAGTTCATTTTATTAAATGAACTTTATCTTTCCCCTTCAAAATTGTGATGAAATACTATTATATCCAATAAGAGCTACATTTAACCAAAATATGACACTTTTGTTTTTTTATAAAGTAGAGCAATTGTCAAACTGTAGGCATATGAAGCATTAGAAGATGGGAAGAGTGGAATACTTTATAAGAAAAAAGCAAATACAAGTATATTTCAGCAAGGTAACCGTGTCAAAGCTTTGATGGCTATGCTGAGTCATAGCATCCTCACAAATTAAAAACATACCAAATGTCCGACATGCATTTATTTTTTTTCTTAAATGATATAGCAATTCTATTTCTGGGTACATACACAAGGAAGTTCAAACAGGGATTCAAACAGATGCTGGTATACTCACGTTTACAGTAGCATGTCTGTGTCAAACTGTGGGAGTACTGTCTACCATCAATTAAATGTACAAACAATGGCACAAATAACCACAAATGAGACAGAGTATCAATCAGTCTTGAAATGGAAGAAAATTCTGACACACACTACCAACACAATGATCTCTAAACCTGTTATGCCAGTATGAAGCATCTACAGAAACTGAATGCAGAGGCAAAGGTATGCTGTCGAAGCAGGGTGAAGAGGAAACTGCAGAGTAACAATTTAAGTTGCAGAGTTTCCATTTTGCAAAAAATTCTGGAGATGGGTAGTGGGAGACTCTGCACAACAGTGTGAGTATGTTCAATGCAACTCAGTTACACACTCAAAGTGGCTACAAGCATAAATTCTACTGTACTTTACCACAACAGAGCAATTCACAAAATGTGAAGAGTTTGTTTTGGTTGAAATAGGGTCTCACTCTGTAACCTATGCTGGCTTTGAAGTCACAGTAATCTTTTTGCCTCAGCTTCCCAAGTACTTGGATTACAAGCATGCACCAATGTCAACTTATTTTTTATTTTTTCAAAGCCACATAATTCTCATTCATGCTATTTCTAGCCAATGCCCTTAATACCCACAGCTCTGTAATTTCTTTTATATTAGCCACTAATACACATGTATAAACATTATACACAGAAATATTTGATGTGACCAATTTTTAAAGACTTAAAAAAAAAAAAAGACAATTTTGAAATTCTTAAGTGTCTTAGGTGATTTTGGAATCATCAGCCTTCAGCCTTTCTTTTGAATTTGTTTACTCCATACACCAAAATCCAAAAGATTTTTAAGGCCCACAGACAAAAATTCACACACACAAAAAAATTCACAATAAAAAAAAATGATGAGTTTTATTTTTAGACAACTGATATGGAAGAATGCAACAGTATTTCCACAGAATAATTGATGGAAATAGAACTTTCTAATTTCAGATTGGGAAAAAGAAAAAAGCAAAACAAAAAGCCTGCAAGTGAGTTAGAACACTAGAAAGGGCCAGCAATTTTCATGAATGAACTCTGATGCATTTTATGTAACTAAACACCAAGGAGTATTACAGGTTAAGACTATAGGGAATTGGGTACTAAAAATAAAAACTAGAATACGGATTTTCAAGTTTTTAGTCTATAAAGAGAAAGGAACTATAGAACAGGAAAACATATCAACTATGAGTGATAGGTCCACAGGAACCCCACCTTCAAGGGTGAGTCAGAAGTATCTTGTGACCTGCAGTTGGATATTAGATGTATCTATTTAATTTTACACTGCAGACTATGGGAGAATTAGCTGAAAACCTGTAGGACTGAGCAGTATGTACAGAATCTACAATAATGTAAACAAGGACTAAGAAAAGGCTGCAGAGTATGACTGCAGAACACATAGCTGCCCTCGTGAGGATCAACTGAGGCAGACAAAAAGGAAAAATGAAGGCACCCTTCTAATCACACCTGAAAAGCAACACCAACCTCAAACAAAATAAGGAAAAAGGAAAAAAAAAAAAAAAAAACCTGCTGAAGCCAGGTAAAACTAGGGTCAATTATCAATTATGCATAATATTCAGCCTAAGTTTTAGGCCAGAATAAATTAAAGCATTAAAGTCAGCACAAAACCTATCATTTCAAAATAAACTGTAGAAAGGGAGAGAAAAATAAGGGCAAAAAGAAAATCAGAATCAGTCTGACTTACCTCTCGAGTAGCTAGCTGGTTGCTGAGCTCTTCAGCCTTCTCAACATCCCACTCCTCCACAGCCTGGTCTAGCCTCTTTTCAAGGCCTGACTAGAAAGAAAGAAAAAAACAAGACAAAACAAATTATTGGCAAGACAGAAAATCACTTTCTAATTAAGACTATGTCACAGGACTATAGCAAATGCAACATCCATTCAGTCCTCTCAATAACCCTATTAAGGCTTGCATCAATTCCCATTTATCAATAAGACATTTCTGAAACATTCAGTGACTAGTCAAGGTCCCCAAATTTCTTAAGCTAACAGTAAAAAAGAGATGCAAATTCAGATGGGGGGCAGTGTAGAACCAAAGATTGCTATTCCCTAATAACACAAAGTTAATTACAGCAATGCTTCAAAATGATGGAGTGCTTACCACATGGTAGAACCTGGGGGCTTATATTACTAAAGCTGTCACTTGCATCCTTATAACAGCTCCATGAAATGTTAGCTTGTTTGCAAGAGGGAGAAATAGCCATAAATTACTCAACTTGGCTGACAACAGTCTGTAAGCTGTAAAGCCATCTCACATTCAGGTTTACATAAAGTCTGAATTCTCATCTATGGCCCATTCCCACACCTCAATACTTTCACTCACTGGCCTTTCACCATCTTCAATTAGGGTTATTATACTGACTATACAGAGAAGAAAGCAATAAATAACAATTACTTTATCTTCCTGTGGAAATGTTTTAATTTACTAAAACTACTTCAAGAAATCAAAATTTAAAATGTCATGGAATTACCAAAATAGGTAGAGTTCATTACACACTTATCAAATGACACCCTGATATAAACAAGGTCTAGTTGTAAATAGTTACTACAGAACACTAAAGTCTTAAGTGGTCTAATATGTGCTACTTGGAAGACTATTTTATTCTAATGACTGCCTCCTATCCCTTCATTTCAACACAGTAAATCTTGGACCTCATACAAACTCCCTCCTTATACAACAGCAAAAGTGTTTTTTTAAAAAAAAATCTCTTCCACCAGCTTGATCACAGCAGTCAACAGGGAGATTTTGTTCCTGTACTGTTGTTGAAATGAAGACTTTATTAACTACAACATAATCTGCCAAAAACAAACAAACAAAAAAACTGGAAGCAGAGGCCAATGAGCACCTCCTTGATGTCTGGCATAAGAAAAGACTCCTTTATCACAATCCCATCTAAGAACTGAGGCAGTCAACCGGCTTTCTTTCCATAGTAGCTGAAGTCATTCATCATCTCTGACCTTAGGCCATATGATTCTAAGGCCCATTTTCTACTCTTGTACAATCTCCAGAAATTTCCCTGTCTTCATCTGCAGAATTCTGCTCAGACTGGTGCAAGTACTACGGCAGATTCCTTCCCAACCCTTTTCATTTTCAGGAAGCTCTAATTCTGCCTACTATAACCCCGTGCCACTCCAACTGAGGTCTTACATACCAGCTCTTAACTGCCAATAGTGCAAATCTCCTGTGGAAATGTTTTAATTTACTAAAAATACTTGAAGAAATCAAAAATTTAAATGTCATGGAATTACCAAACTAGGTAGGGCTCATCACACACTTACCAAAAATGTATTATTTGGGTTCATGCAAAGCTAAACTAAGGATCTTGTGCCAGAATGCAGATCAACTACCTGGTTAGCAGGTTAATCTAGATAACTCTTTCTTAGCCTCATCTTTAGCAGTGCTTTATTTCCTAATCTCTGGCTACAAGTGCCATCTTATTAATGTTCCTAGTGCCTCTGACATACCTTAAAAAAATAAAACAACAATAAAAAACCTCTCCCATCTTTTCAGGTTCACATCAGATATTACCCTCTCTAGTACCCTACCTTCTGACGGTGCCACCTTTTCTCATGTCCCACACCAGATTTCTCTCCTGTCTGCATCACTAAACTGCATGTCTCCCTGTAGCACTTGTTCTTCTGACACATTGTCTTTTTCCTTTCTTGGGTACTATGCTCAATAAAGGCAAACTCTTATGTACAGTCACTGGCTTGGAGTATCCCAAAATCCCACCCAGTTCCTTCCACATAGGAGGAATTCACTCAGTCTATACAACTGCATGAAAGTTTCAGTGCAGTAATCCATGTCTGCATTAAGACCGAAGGAACCCAAGTACCCTGGCAGCCCCTGGTAAGAATTCCACAATAGTTACACTGAGGTAATAATGCCCGTCCAGTCAAAAGGCATAACATACTGTCACGATTATTTACACAAATTTATCTGCAACAAATTAAAAAATGTATTTTTTTAGGGCTCAGCAGTTAGAACACTGCTGCACTTCCAGGGGACCCAAGATCAGATCCCAGCACCAACATTGGATGCCTCACAACCACCTGGAACTCCAGTTCCAGAGGATTTGACACTTCTTCTGGCTTCTGTATTTCTTCAGGGCTCAAGAGTAACTTTATCTTGAGCTCCCAGAGCAGTACAATTAGAAGTTTATAGATTCTCCATTTAGAACTTCATATTTAATCTATAATGGAAATGAAGTTATTTATTTACAAAATGCTAACACAATAGTCTTTACTCCCTTTGCAGAACAGAGATTTCCTCAAATGCCTCTGAGACAGATGAAGTAAACCTTAATACCAAATTCAATTTTCTTATATCACAAAGTATGAAGTAGCCAAATACCTCAATTCAGTATTTACACAAGCAATCACCTAGACCAGCTTCACTTGTTCCCCTTAGTAACCTGTCCACTAATCCTCTCTTAAGACATGTATGTTATACACAGCAGCTGTGCTCCCTTCCAATTATCAAGGCTCCTTGAGATTTTAAAGACCTGGGTGTTGCCTTCCTGTATACAGTGCCCAAAGTTACCCATAGATCCTCAAACCTGGATAAGTCCACGCAATGAACCATTCTACTGAATCGACTTATTAATGTCCCTCTGGTACACAGAGATATAGGTCAGCACTGAATGTCACAAAGGAAAGGGAAAACTCCCCTAGAAACTCCTATGAACTGCTAAGCTTAAATAAAGGTAAAGTTTCACTTTAAAATTAAATCTGAATGGGGGACATCTCTTAGTAATATGGCCTGGAGTACAGGAAATCCTAGGTTTGATCTCTAGCACTGCATCAAATCTGGTGTAGAGGTGACACACACTTGTAATCCCAGCATTTGGGAGGTGGATACAGGAGGATCAGAAGTTCAAGGTTCTTGAAGGTCCTGATGGTGCACGTCTTTAATCCCAGCAAAGGGAAGCAGAGGTGAGCATATCTCTGTGAGTTCAAGGCCAGCCTGGTCTACACAGTGAGTTTGTTTTCTTTTCTTTTTTAAATATAATGCTTTTGTCTTTTTCGTCTTTTCTTTTTTCAGTTTTGTTTTGAGACAGGGTCTCACACTGGACCCCAGGCTGGCTGGGAACTTCTGGCACTCCTCATGCCTCAACCTCCACAGTACTGAGTTTATAGGCTTAATCTATATAAGATGCCTAGCTCTGAAAATTTTTTATTCTATTTTGTATTTAATAAGGACATATTAGCATCCAGCTATGGGATGCCTTTCTGTATGCTGTGAATATATGTTGCTCCCATTAGTTAATAAATAAAGCTGCACTGGCCTATGGCAGGGCAGGATGGAGCCAGGAGGGAAATCCAAACGAGATAGAGAAGAAAGGTGGAGTGAGGGCAAACGCTCCGAGTGGCCACCAGGAGAAGCGAGATACAAGGGAACAGTTAATTGTTTGGAAGGAGTCTGTTGGAAGATCCACCTGGGCTCCCTTCCCCTATCTCTTTCCCTAAACCCACCCCTTCAAAGCCCGCCAAACACAGCTCCTCCCCCAGAGAGGCTCAGGATGACTCCCACAGGGGATACATAAGCAGCATCCCTGAAAACAGACTTGTGGTTCTTCAGGTCTCATGTCTCTGTCTCCTCTCTCCTCCCCAGGGAATCGCCTGAGGAGCACTTTACCCATTAAACCTGGGCTTTCCAATTTGGTCTGACTCAGTTTGTTGCAATGGCAGAGAGGCCTTCAGGAGGCCAAAAACTTATCAGTAATGCCATGCACAAAGTCACATGGCAAAACATAGTAAGATGGGTTAAGTTAAGTTGTAAGAGCCAGTCAGTTATAAGCCTGAGAAATAGGCCAAACAGTTTATAATTAATATAAGCCTCTGTGTGTTTATTTGGGACTGAATGGCTATGGGACCAGGTGGGATAGAAACTTCTGTCTAGAGCATTCCAAATACATTCAAAATTCTTGTATTATAAACACTCCCATCACCATAAGAAGACAAGTTCACAAGATTCTGCCAAGAACACTGCTGAAAAAGTAAAATGAAGTAGAACTTCCACTTAGGAACTGAGCAATCTGGGGAGGGTCTCTAAACTTCTATGGCTGTAGTTCTCTCATTGAAGCCAAGTAAATATAAAGCCATGCTCTCTACAAAGTGATGATTAGGGACAAGAAAATAAATATGAACCATCTAGCCAATATTTACAATACAGTAACCACCCAGTAGTGATTAACTGTTTCTCTTATCTCTAATATCAGAGGACTTTCGGGTGAGGTTACGGACTTCACCATACTTCTTTGGGGGGCTTAGATCCAAGCATCAAGAATTTAACTCTGAGCCAGTAAATTGTCTCATCAAACAAGATTTAAGTATCCAAGCTTTTTAAGATTTTCAGGAAGGTCCCAAAGTAGCTTCTGATTTACACAGGATCTTCCACAGTAGAAGAGCAGCAGGAGCTGCAGGCTACTCTTGATAGCTACAGTGCCTTGGTGTACTCTTCACACTTTTTACTTGAATGAGAATTAAGCATAAAATATATCTCAGAGAATAGATATGTTTAGGAATGGCAATTTAGCCGCAAGTGGAAATTTTACCTAAGGCACTATGGAACAGGTTCCTGGAAGACAACTGGCCTCTAATCAATAAAGCTGCTCTACAGATGCCAAGATGGCATCTGGACAACAAGTGGGTGTGCAGGACTTCATGGACACGCGGCTTAACGCTAGGGACTGAACCTACATGTGTACACAAGGAATCTTTGTGTGACTAAAGCTCTTTAAGTATAACAGCATCACCATATATTTCTACACAAATCTCAATGCCAAATGTTTATTTGGATAATATATTCATCTTTAAAGCATAATAAAAATAAATTATCTATTGAAATTTGCTTAATTATGACTGAATTTAATAACCAGGAGCAAAATGAGGCAATTTCTCTATTCAAAAAAAGGAGGAAGGAACAACATTTAAATACAAACATCTTATCTGTTATATAAGTCATATGTGATGATTTTGCTATTTTTATATATAAATCATACAAAATTTAGGTAAGTTAAAAACTAAATTTATCTATTACTTTAGAAAAATTCAGATTGAGGACCAAAAGACTTGAGTTTAAAGTCTTACATCTTACCTGCTGTTTGTTTTTTAAGGCAAATACAATAAGCTGCTTCTTCATGTATCAGGAGACTAACAATGGCCCTCCCTACTGAGATAGATAGCCATGGGGATCATAAGAAACCACCATGACTGGTATCAGGAGAACTTTGTGGTATCCCAATTCTTCCCAAACCCCTGAGCCTCCCTCTCAATGCACTCAAGGCAGCCAGATTTTGATGTGATCTATATAATGAAGTTCCATATAAAGGTCTAGATAGAAAAAGTACTCTACCACAGAAAAAGAACAAGTTTGAAAAAGCCTATTACAACAGCAGTTGAACAACTTTATGAAAAACTTTAAACAAACATCAAAGACAGTAATTCTAAAAAGTAATAAAAGTATCCGTAGTTTTCATGCCAAAAGTATCCATTTGACACACTCAGGACTACTTCAATAATGACTGCTACCTAATAAAACTAAGCCAACTATGGAATACTTAAGACATTTATAGTGAAATGAAAGAGCAAAATTTATTCTATAGAAATTCCCACATAGATTTAAAATATTTATGTTATGATTACAGAATTATTAATAAGCCCCATTAACTGCTGCCAGAAATACAACTATAGCTGCATTTAATACAAAGAACACCTTAAAACACTGTTGGATATTAGGAAGACTACATTTAAAAAAAAAAAATACAAGCCTCTCTGCACTGTCTGGCAGACAGGTGACAGCAGTGTTATAATACACATTCTGGGCTGTGCAACAGTTTCAGTTTGGCAGGACTCCAAAGGGGCGTGTATGATAGACATGAGACTAAGAAGTTTTGTTTTGCTTTACTGTTCTTAAGGGTTGAGTGAAAAAGACTTTCTGATATTGAAACAGATCAGCCTCTGCTCCAGAGAATAAAATGCTAGACTGGAAATCCATACTTGTTTACACTGCACCACATGTCTGCATAGTGCTACCAGATTCCTAACTATCTGTTGGACTTACTTGTAGCTTTTATCATGGTGTTTCCAATGTGGACATTTTGCTTTTGCTTTTTTAAAAAAAGTTTATTTACTTTGCTGGACTCACAGTAAAGCCCTCAGCAGGACAGCAAAAGAAGCATCATGTAAAAACCATGATCCCAACCAGAACTGCTGGCATGCAATTACATGCAACTCCCAAGAGAAGCTGAAGTAATTCAGCTTCACTAAATCCTTCCTTTCCTTTCATGCTTGTATTTATTTGTAGAATTTTAAGTGTGGGCACAACGTAAGCCTGGCCAACAACAGTTTCCTTGATTAGAAGACCCATAACTTTCTTCGTCAGGCGTCATTTATGCAGAGGAATAGCTGCAGAAAAAGAGCCCAAACTTACAAAATGGATGCACAGCAATTTCTCTTAAACAGAGTTCACACTTTAAACTGCTGTTTTGACTTTTCTGGAATGCATGTAACGCAATGGTGAGACAAGGTGCTAGGTCCTAAGATGGAGTTCTTCAAATGACACTATGAAGAATCCTTGTAACTCTACAGGAGCTCGTCGCATCTATCCAATATTCAGACTACAACTTCAAACACTAGGGTAACAACAGGATTCCAGTAGATTATAAAAAAAATTATTCTCTAAATCTCTGCTTTTTAGAATGTTTACAAAGTTCATTTCATGACTTTAATGTCTCTTATCAATTACTTTGAAGTCAATACTGTTACGAGAAAAGATAGTAAATATTGCAAATAACTGAAAATCAAAGGCCATGTAACTCAAATGTTTAAAAAAAAAAAAAGAGTTGAACAAATACTTAATTATTCATGTCCTGAAGGATCTAGTCCAGTGGTTCTCAACCTTCTTAGTGCTACAACCCTTTAATACAGTTCTTCAAGTTGTGGTGACCCCCAACCATCAAACTATTTTCATTGCTACTTCATAACTGCAATTTTGCTGTTACAAACTGTAATGTAAATATCTGTGTTTTCTGATGGTGTTAGGTGACCCCTGTGAAAGGGTCATTCAACCCCCAGGTTAAGAACCACTCATCTAGTCAGTGGCTGGGACTCCAAAACAGGTCTACCAGAGATGGCCCATGACTCAGGGCAGTCAATAAGGTCTTCCTCCCTGCTTCAGGACAGATTTGGCAGTCAAGAGCAGCCTAAGTCAAAGTCACATGACCTGCTCTCAACACACATGAATCACAAGGGTCAAGATTATGACAAAAACATGTTTAGAAATCCACTACTTTCCACAGTGCGCCCAAGGAACATCAGCATGGTGTCTTAAGACTCAGATTGCACTTGCAACTCTACCACTGGGCTTTGTGGGAAATGTATTATTTCTGTATCTGCTTAAAGGTTATTGCTCAGTAGTAGGTACAGAAAATGAACCCAGGGCCAAGTACCTGGTTTTATAGGGACTATTTTAGAATTAATAATTCTTTGCAAAACTAAAGAGAAAAAGATACATGAAGTATGTTATGACTATAATCCCAGTCACAGGTTGAATCAATAGAATTACTTGATTGAGATCAGGAGTTCAATACCAGCCTAGGCAATATAACCAGACCTCATCTCAAACAGAACAAAACTACAAACACATCGCATACAGAATTGGTTGCAATAGGCCCTTAATTTACATCTCCTCAGTGAGACATCACCACCTAATTATGAATTTAATGAGAGGTTTTTCACAAGAAATGAAACCAACCGGTCAGAAAACAGCAAAGGTCTTTTTAGGCATACTGAGCAGTCCTCAGCAGTGACCCATGTAAAGTGTATCTCTTTAAAGCAAGCACAGGATACAAAGGTCCCACTAGGCCCCATAGGCCTCTAACGCTACCATGGAACAGATTCTCATGCTCTTAGACTCTAGAAACACCACTCTCCACCCCCACCATGAATATGTGCACTATTCCTTCAAGGCCTTTTCTAATTCCTAAAAAGTAACAACTACAATTACATACCTCAAGTTCAGACACTACTCTAAGCCCCCACCTCATATTATAGCAATTATTTACTCTTTTCTTGTGTTCTGATTAACACTTATGTCCCAACCTGAATTCTGAATAGGTTCTACTCTCAATCTTTTATCTCCCTACCTTTTCTCAACTTTCTAACTCACTTGAGGAAAAACCTGACAAATGATGCAAAGGCAAATACTATCAATTCTACTTTCACATTAAAACCTCAAGGCACCCACACTTTTCTCCATCTTCATCAACACTGTTGTCATTCAACGGACCATTATCTTGTGCCGAATCTGCTGTTTTCTCATTTACTTTTGCTTCATCACCATCTATTCTCCATGTAACAGTCAGGGAATCTTTGAAACTTAAGTTACATCATGTCACTCTCTTAAAAGTGCACTGTAAATAAGGTCCATTTCCTACCAGCATTGAGGTCCCACCCAGTTTTGGCAGTTCTATAAGATTATCTTGAGTCTTGAGCTACCCTCTTCCTCACTGACTTCCAGCCAGTCTAACCTTCTCGCTAAAAAACAAAAAGGTCTCCTATTAACCCCTCCTTTAGGGTCTTCACTTATGTTTCAGGAGCCTCCGAGTGACTATTGTTTATGGATACAGCCTTCACCACCCTTCAGGTGCTATGGGATGTCTTTCTGTATGCTCTGAATATGTGTTGCTCTGATTGGTTGATAAATAAAGCAGCATTGGCCTATGGCAAGGCAGCTTAGAGGCAGGCAGGAAATCCAAGCAGATATACAGAGAGAAGAAAGGAGAGGCAGGAGAGATGCCAGCTACCACCCAAAGAGAAGCAAGATGCCAGCAGACCAGTAATGCCATGGCCATGTGGCAACTTACAGATTAACAGAAATGGGTTAAGTAATAATAGCTAGCTAGCAAGAAGCCTGACACAGGCCATACAATTGGTAACTAATATAAGCCTTTGAGTGATTATTTTATAAGCAGCTGCAGGACAGTGGGGGCCAGAGAAACTTTCCGGCTACATTCCAGGTCTCAGTGAGACAGCCTCTTACAAGGCAAAAAGAGTGAGGCCCTCACAATAATACTTTCACAACTTACTCTTCTGATGAGTTTTAAACTAGCAAGATATTTTGTTTCTAATTATATAAATTAATGAACTAGTATCTTAGGCAAGGCTAATCACAAATATGTCCTGCTAGCTAATATATGATGGAATAATATATAAATAATAAGATGGTTCTTACCTTCTCAACTTTTTTCTGCTTAACTGGGGGTTCAAATCTATCATTGGCTCCAAAATACTGAGTAAGTTCCTTCCATTGGGTTTCACTTGAGGACTGCTCACTGCAAGATAAATTAAGTCTGTGTACACAAATTATGACTCTTTTTATTTTGATTGTTTTTATCTAGTTGCAATAATTACACTTCAATGACTACTTCTCATGTCTGATCATTATCAAGGTAAGTAGTACAGTAATCTAGAAAGTTCCACAAAACTGTTAAATAGTAACTATTTTAAATTCCACCTACCTGTGAGATTCTTTTTCATTCTTCAATTTGCCTAAAAGGAATTTAGAATACTTAATTATTCAGCTATTATTTCAAAATCATGTTTTAAGAAATTAACTCAATTAGTCCATTTAGAGTTAGTACAACTAACAACCTAAGTTAAAAAATAAACACCTTTTTTGGAGCGTTTTCTTTCTTTCTGTCTGAATCTTGACGTTGAATTTTTCTGTTCAGAATGTTTTTTATGCAATTCTTGAAATTTCTATGTAAAAGGAAAAAGAGCATGTGTGTGTGTGCTGGAGATAAACATACATTTTAACAACGAACAGATATGTTAAGTAAACTCCTTATGCTCTGCCATTTCTAAAGCTCTTGAGATACTCCAGTCCTCACAACTCTCAGTTGAATTGGGATATTCATTGGTTTCGATATAAGCTGTTTGATAACAGAGAATGAACTCATTTATCATGGTAGGCGAAGTAGAGCAGATAATCCTATGAAGTTTTTCTTTTTATTTATGTAAAACAAAATGAGAATCACAGTATCCACATGGCTAAAAGAACAGTGAAAATATTATGAGCCCCCTCTGCCGTCTGTTATATCCCAACATATTCTTCCCACAGCACACACACAGAGAACACATGCACATGGACATGCACACTTTCCTAACATCACACAGGAAACCTACACTCCACATGTGTAAGGGAATTCCAGAAGGACATTTCTCATATGCATTTGCATCAGTCTCTGTCTCAGCTTTTGGCTTGCCTGCTGGGAAATCTGACATCTTGGGCTTCCTACTGCTGTCAGTCTTTCCATCTTCCTGCAAATGAAGTTCCGTAAGCCCTGGATTCTCTGGTGTGGCTTCATCTTCAGAATCTGGCTCAACATCACTTTCATTTAGCCCAGGAGGTAACAGCCCACTCCACATCTTTTCTTCTAGAAGGAAAAAAGGAAAGATGAATTCAAACTCAAATAGTAGCCACAGAAACTATTTTAAAACCACTAACAAGATATCCCAGGAGACCAATATATCTACCAATGCAATTTAATTTAAAATCTAAAATGAGATGAACCCTCCATATAAAATAGCTAACATAAGTTGTGTTAAGTTGAAAAAAAAAAGGTTAAAAGTAATTTAACAGTTTAAGTATGCTACAATACACATCTCCAGATAAAGCAGAATACTGATTCTCTAAAGTATGGATTATTCTGCCTACATGAAACTAGTAAAGCACCCATGGCCAAGCACAACAATATACTCTGTAGGAATTTAAAACAATGTATTTTTTAAATTTTATTTTGTTTTGTTGTTCTTATTGAGACAGGACCTTACTCTGGAGCCCAGGCTGGCCCTGAACTCATGAAGATCCTCCTGCTTCAGCCTCCTAAGTGCTGCAATTGTACGCACGAAACATTACAGCCAGTTTAAGGCTTAAAATAACATGCTTCACATTGTACCCATTAAAGGATGAAATAAAGGTGGGTGGATGCATCAACTAACGAAGCACATATAACTTTCAAAAGGCTTACTGTCTAAGAGCAGGTTAACAGTTAAAGAAAAAACTTTAAGCTGTATACATATGTTTTAAAGGTTATAGTAGTATGGGCAGCAAGATGGCTCAGCAAGTTAAAGGCATTTGCCACCAAACCTGATGACCTGAGTTCCACCCGTACATGGTAGGTGAAAAACAACTCTTGTAAGATGTCCCCTGACCTCTCTCCACCTGTGTGTATGCAAGCATACCCATATACAAAATAAATAAGTGTTAAAAAAAAAACTAACAGTAAATAAAGAGTACGGTAGGTAGAAAATATATCCTAGTTTTAAATTTTATACTGTTTGCTAAAATAAACCAAATGAAATATAATTCCAAAACTTAACAAGCATACAGTTTTCATGAATGACAATACTATGTATTTGGGAAACAAGAAGCTCAGAACAGTATTCAACAATATCTGTATAGCTCACTGGTATAAGCATTAAGTTTCACGAAAATGACTTTTAGAATTAGTGTAATCACTTCATTTGACTTCCACAGTACAGACTATTTTTTCATACAACTGAACCCAAAACAGTCTCAAGATTCATTATCAGTCAGAAGGGACAAAAGAACAGAAAGTCTGGGTGTCCTGGCCTATTTTGCAATTAATCTAGTAGGAAAACCAACCCCATTCTCTTCAGGTCATGGGTATCAAGGATCTTTGCATTACTCTGAATTACATATTTCTGCTTTCTTTTAAGGATCCTCTCTCAGATTTAAAGAAACAGGGTTTATTTTTGTGTTTTTAGGCCAGGTTTACCAGTACTTGATTTTCTGAAACATTCTCTTGGCTTTTTAAAAGAACCACGACGATTAGACTCCTGACTCCAGTTCCACTAGAGGCAGAACTCACTCAACAACTGTGACCCTCAGTTTCTTTATCTGCAGCACAGGATAATTACACTGGTTAGTCTGAGGATTAAATGAGATTCAACACTCAACAGCATTTAGGAAAGTCTAGGGGTTCAATAAATGTTTGGTGCTGAAAACCTTTTTATTTTTTAATAAACTTGAACTGTGCATCAAAAAACAAATGTTCAGTGGTTCTTGCTATTATTTCTGTGGCCATGAAATGCATTTTTATCACTCCTAATATGGACAGAAGGGCTCATAGGATACCTTTGAAGTTTCTGATATTTGTGGTGATTTATCAAGTGAAGCAAATCATGTTCCTCCCTGATCTCCACAGTCTGACATGAAGCTTCTCTAAATAAACCTGGTATTTAGCCTCTGAATAGGGCAATAAAACAAGAGGCAGATTACCAGGCCATTAATGGAGCTCAAACATTAATGTTCCTTATTTATAAAGGTCTTCTCTAACCATTGTGTGTAATTTTCTATCCAGAATTTAAGTTCAACTTAAAGTAAAGACCCCAAGTTATACATGTTCAGTCTTATAAAACCTGCATCAACCCCTAAACTTGGTTGAGATACTCGATAAAATATGCCAGTAGGGAGAGTAGAGTAGTAATGGTCTCTAAAACATCTTTAGGGTCATTATCCATTTGAGGATACTAAAACTGTAACAAATTTCAGACATTTTTTTAAAGCATGCTTGGGGCCTACTGTAGAAAGTATGCCCATGGCATTTTTCACTGCATGCTAGATATTCTCTAAGAGCCTGAGAACAAAAGTATAAAAAACAGAATAGAATCTGTAGCCTCACAGAGCAAAGTTTATACCATTTCAAGGAAATGTTACTCAACCTGAACCTTCAATGGCATGTGTCACCTACAAGTAGACCTCTGTTTTAGTATGTCTGGAGTTTCACAGTCTACATTCTGGGCATTCAAATGTGCTTCCCCATGGAGAGCAGTCTCAGTTACCCTACAGGAGTTATGCTTTTCCTTATCAGTTTCCAGGCAGCTATCCAGTTTTCATGGCTTTTTGAACTTTTTCAAAATTGCTTTTATCTACTGCTTGATATGGTATCCAAAACTGGTCTCAATATGGTATTTTCCTAGCTTGAAAGTTTCTTAAATGTACCTAAAGAAAAAAAAAAGTTAAAAGAATCGCCAAATCTATAATACAAAATTCAGATAAGGTATATTTTTTAACTCAGTCCTTAAAAATCTTTAGCCACATGTTAGTTTCCTGTGATACTGAGGTGTGGCACAAAACAAAAAGAAAACACAAAAACATATTAGGGAGATTCAAGTTTCTACTGGTAAACTTAGGTAACTGCTGGTAATGAGCCTGCAAAATGGAGCTGTCCATTGAAGCAGCAGCTCAACTGTAAACCAGCCAATATGGAGAGGCTGCTTAGTAATTTCTGCCATGGGCTCCTGTTTGAAGATATTGCTTTTCTATTCCTATTAATATGTGTCACTCATACGTTTTCCAACTGCTCCTGCTACTCTTGTTTGGGCTTCTCTGAACAGAGTTTCTTTATTTCTTTGAAGTGTCTCTTTCATTCCTTTCAGGATGCATGTCTTTATTTTAAGGGAGAAAAGTCCTAAATTAGTCTCTGAGAAAATCCAGCCAGTCTCAAAAGATGTGGAATAACAGACAAACAGAAAGTCAATTCTTCTATGTAGATTAGAGCCAGGCCTATTATAGCACTGCCAATGAATTAATTTGTAGGCTTTCAGTTTTTAACCTGCAACTCAATAATATTTAATTTAATCATGAGAGCCTCAAGGAAGACGTAAATGAGCCAAGGATCAATCCCTTTCTCTAAAGTTTCAAATATCACCTTCATATCGTACACTCAGTACCACTGCAGTTGTGATTTATTACACCCTACAAACTATTTGGTACACAACATGGGACACATCTTCTAGTTCTGGGCAGACTTTGCTATGAACTGAATGTATTTCTGTACTGTTCTAAATCTAAATAAAGTGGGTTTTCTTTACCCTCAAAAAACAAACATAGCCATATGGAGCACACATTGGCAGAAAACAATGCATTTAAAACAAAGTGGTTCAGCAGCTGGTAATCTTTTTTTTTTTTTTTTACAAAGTTTTATAATGAAAGTACTAGAAGTCACTAAGCTAATTATCAGTATTTTTTTTAAATCAAAATTATTTTATTTTTTCCCTAGTAGCACTTATCATCTACCATTAGGTAAGAAAACTTATTATCCTTCACTTGTTACCAGAGATGTTGACTATACACCTCGTTTTTATAATTCTTTTATAAGTTTTATAAATATCATCCCTCAAAATACAGAAACCATAGAGATACCAAATCTCAATAATAAAAGTTCTAGCTTGTGTCAGAATTGGAGACCACTAGTTACAGTAGCTAAAATAGGCTTGGGATTCAGATGACTTCCAGCCCTGAGCAGGCCATTGCATCTGCCTGGGTCTCCATCCTTTCTAAGCTTTAAAATGGGAGTGTGAACAGCTACCACTGAGATGTCTCACACCTTTAAAATGTTTATAATCTTAATGTTGCCAGTGCCCCAAATGCCCAGAACTGCCTCACTCTTTGATGTAATATACTATTCTCTCTCAATCATGAAATCTTGATGAAAGTTCAGGAAATGCAGTTTCTCTCCTCTACCTCACAACCCAGTCAAGAATACACCCTGCACCCAGGTCAGTGAAAAAGGACAGGAAACGAAGTTACAAGACACAAAGGCAGTAGGGGAAAAACAAAGCAGGCCATGGCACACAAGTCAAGAGCCAGGCATCAATCCTCATCACAATACTGATTAGAAATTAACATCAACCCATTTTAAAACTGGCCTAACTCATTGTGATCCACTTATTTTACAAAAGCCTGATGGCTTTCAGTTATGTACTTTTAGATCGTCAAGTTGGTGATGCATTCTTGGAGACAAAGATTTGGGAGAAGAACCAAAACAATGATTCTAGGCTGTAATTATAAGATTGCTAAAATTTAGTAAAAATTTTTCAGCACTTTTTACATGTGAAAAAATCAGGCAAGATATTACACTAAGTAACATACTGAGAGTCACATGTAGTCCGAGAAATGTGTTTTCTAGACCACCCAACTGCTTACAAGCTATACCCAAAAGATAAAAATCTGAGCATCTCAACAGATAAGCATTTCCTGTCTCTAACATGCCAGAATTTAAACTGTATTTTTATCAAATGACTATATTTATAATCATAAATTTTGTATTCAATTTTAAATAATCACAGACATCTAAATTTAATCTTATTTGTAAAATAATTATAACCATCAGCCTCTAACCTATAAGATCCTAATAAAGGATTTAATTAGTTCATGAACGTTGGAATTAGTTAATGTACTTTTTCGGATTAACGTCAACATTAATGTAAATGTCTTATTTATTGTTAGAAAATGTGTTCCTTTTTTTCAAAACAGCACAGAAAACACAAGGGGATCACAGGCCTGAGTTCGGACTTATTTCACATAAACTATTTATTTAGCGGGATTTCCTTTTGCTTTTTTCTTTGCAAGAGTGGGTGAGCGTGAATTAAAGCAATGTTTGTTTACAGCCATAGCCCGGAAACTACTTTTCCCCCAGAGCCTCTCTACCTTGTACGGAAAGATTTACAAATTATGCAATCCACGCCATTGTGCAAATACTTACGAAGTTCAAGACTGCGACAGGGTAGCTCTACAAAGGTACACCTCTTCCCGCTGACAACCTGGAACTCTGCGGCTCTGGGTATTTGGGGGCCGCGCCACCTTCGGATCTCAAGCCGCGTCAGAATCCCCACCGGAACGCCGGCCGGGACGCCGAAGGTCTAGCCTCCCTCCCATTAGCCGCAGTCGCTTTCCCCGAAACGGCAAGTGCACCCACGAGCCTGCCGCGCTCGAGGCTGCCCGGCCCCTCCTCGCTCGGCCTGGAACGGGACGGAGACGGGGCCCGCCACGGCCGAGTTTTCCTAGCCCGCTCCGGCGACCCCGCGGGGGAGCGGTGACGCCCGGCCGCTCAGACGCCTCCGCTGCCCTCCCTGCCCGGAACCCAAGCCCGACAGGCCCGCCACGAAGCCCGCCGCCAAGTCGAGCAGCGCGAAGCCGAACCTACCGGCCAGGAAGCGGCGGCTCAGCAGCCATCTTAGAACCCCGTCAACATCATGCCTTCTCATTGGCTCAAGCGGCTCAGCCAATAGGCTACGGCCATTCTGGCTCTGCGGTCGCCAAGGCAACAGCCTGACTTGCCTATCCTCTCCTATCTCCCTGGCGGGGGCTGTTTTTTGTTTGTTTGCTTTTTCCTCCGTTTTCTCGTTGTCTTTCTCCTTGGACGCAGCGGGTTTTGGTTTTTTGTTTGTTTGTTTGTTTTTAAAGCTTTGTTCTTTCCTAACTCTTTGCCTGTGCTGGTGCGTCTGGCTGAGGAAACTGCTGACTTCCTCGTTTACTTGAGTTCAAGCAAGAATTGTGGATACCCTCTTCAGGGAATGTTTTCATTCATCAATCCCTCTTCCTTCCTTCGCTTCCCCGTTCCTTTCTTCCTGTGTTTGAGTGCTCACTGTGTTCCAGGCCTCATGAAATTCTCAATCCGATTCCTGTTCCTCTGTTTACTGGGTTGGCACAGTGTATATAGGTCCTGATGAGGGCCGTGGAGGCGTGTAAATGGTGAAAAGATCAGAAAATATCACCGTGTGAAGACAATAAAAACAGACACGGAGACAGAGACGAATATAGGACTAATTCAGAACTGCGTCCATTTTCTGAAGTAATGTTCCGTAGTAAGATTAAGTATATGTTCCTATTTTCTTGTGGTGGTTACATGAGAAAATACAGGGCTAGGGAGATAGCTCAGTGAAAAGCTTACCGAGCAAGTGGGAGGACCTGAGTTCATTTCATCCCCAGAATTCATATTTAAAAAGCCAGAGGTAGTGGCCCGTGCGTGTAATCCCAGCACCGAGGAGACAGACAGGCAGACTCTTGGGACTCCTTGTCCAACCGCTCTGGCCTACTCGGCAAGCTCCAGGCCAGTGAGCAGAAAAGACAGGTGAATATCCCCTGAGGAACTATGCTTGGGAATTGTCTTCTGGACTCTATATATGTGTACTGGAACATGTGTGTGGGCACATGCACACACAAAATACAAAGCCTTTAACAAGTTTAAAAAGCCTATGACAAATTAAACTTTGAAGAATTTATTTGAACCAACAGCTGTTTCATGAATGAAGTAGTGTTATGATTCAGTCAAAATTCAGAGAGGTCCACCAGTGAGCAAACAATCCAGATTAAAAAAAGGAAAAGAAACTGATATAATAGTGTGGTTGGTCATATCTGGGCATTTATCTTATAAAACATGGTCCGATCAGCTGTCACACTGACTAGACTGAAAGTCAGCTACCATGATTTGACTAAGACTTGGCAACACATAAGAATACTAAAATACTCTTAAATTAGGCTGAATAGAAGGTATTTAGTTATTTAAAGCAAGGAGTTCAATGTAGGCCAAACAACGTACACATTGCTTAACCCACAATAATTTTCACTTACTAACATTATTAACAAATGCCTTTTTAAAAATGTTCTGATGTACAAAATGTTTGTCTGTATTTAATAATATGAATGGATTTAGCATTATTAGGTAGTTAATCCTACTACTTAAACACCTAGTACACCCATGCATCCTCTAATATCTTCTGGAAGATAGGCCAAGTTTATGATGTAGTGATATGTCCTAATTTGATAAGTTCCCCTCAAGCATTCCCTGATTTAGAGAAAAGCAAAGCTAAATAATTCAAGGATTCATATGGAAATCTCCAATGACAAGACTGTCTAGCTTTTAAATGGGATTTCCTTCTACTCAAATCCCTAAAGATCAAGGAAGTATATGAAACTGGTTTTGTAATTGTCAGCATTGAGTGGTTTAATTGTTGTGTTAGTCTGCTATAAATTGTCATAACAAAATATTATAGGCTGAATAGCTTAAATAATTAATGCATTTCTCCTGCTCTGGATACTGTAAAGTCTGCTAGCAAGGTCTCTTCTCTTGGATTATAGACAGCTACTATCTCTGTGTGCTAATGTGACCTCTTTGGAACACAGTTTAGGAGAGCTCTTTGGAGTCCTCATAAGGACACTAATGGTATCAGGGACTCATCCTTTTGATCTTATTTTACTTAACTTACTTCGTTAGAGGTCCCATCTCCAGATACAACTGTGTTGTGGCTTTAGGCTTCAACATGAATTGGGGGAAAGCACACAACTGTCCAGCCCATAACAATTGTTAAAGGTAGAAGTGTGGCCAGAATAGTGAGAGGACAGGGAGAAAAGTCATAGCATGGGGTAGAAAGAAATTATGTCAGCATGCTTAAGTATCTGAATTACTTCTACACATATTCCATTCATGAATGCTCATTGTTTACTGCATATTACTGTACATTGGGTGGAAATGGGTAAAAACTCCAAAGATTTATAATCATTCACATATATATGTATATAATTACATGCATATTTTCCCAATGTTAATATGAAATTCTTAAATATCTACTTATGATACTAATGAAGCCTGATAATAAACAAGTCATATCTCAGAGTTTTGTTCTGCTCCAAATTGTGAGACTGTCAACTTCTGCATTTTTATGTTTTGCAAGTTTTCTAAGGAAGATGTCAGTTATTTGATTTATTTTAATCAATAAATTTATCTTCCCTCCAGAAAATTCCTGCTCTGGAAACCTGCCAAACCATGTGTTTTGTGAATGAAATACTTGTATTTTTGAGATTTCAGTGAAACATAGAATTGTTGAATACTTTTTAGTAAATCATAGTGAAATATACCATGCAGCCAGTGAATTGTGCTGGAATTTTATTGCATCTGGCAATAATTTCAAGCATGTAAGTTTCATTTAAATTCTTCATATCTTCAAAAACACAAAGCAGTTTTTCTTTGCTGAGGAACATTAAAGTGTATGAACAGTTTGCTCTCATATTTAATATTTTTAGTGTAGAGATTTTAAGTCACACCCATGATATGAAAGATTAATTGTGGAATTCTTTTTGGTGGCTGCTAAATCTCTGATTGATGGAAATGTTCTCCAAATATAACGAAGTCCCTCAACTATTTCTCATTTGGATAAAGTGAATACAACTTTGTTGAACATGTAATAAATGTACTTCTTGCTGAAACTGAGAAAGAATAATTAATTTCCTTCTATACAATGTACTTCTTTTTCAAAATTGCAAAAATATGGTCTAGTGACTTAGGTAGAGAAATTGAAACCAGAGAGTTCTGAATTTCATAATTGTGTTGCTATCCATCATGATTGAGAAATTACAATTTATATGAACTTTTTTCACATTTTCAGAGTAAAACATCTATAAACAATGTCAAGTCTTCCAAGGATATACTTAACAACTAACAATTAACACTGTGATATCAGCAGGAATTGACATTTGAGGAAAGACATTTTCCATAATATAGGGGATTACTTTCAAATTCTTCAGGTCTAATGGGGAAAGACAACAGAAGAGGGACATTTAAAGAGTATTTGTGTATGTTTATATTTTGCCTCTAGTATCTCATGTACTCCTATGAAGTAGGTATGGGTGCATCATCTTTATAGATAGTAACTGAAGCAACTTGTCTGATGCCACACATCCAGCGATTTGCAGAACCAGGACAAGAATACAAACCTAACAGACAAATACAATGGATGCTGAGTTACTGCTTTCCCCCACTGTTCCATATTGCCTCATAAGGGGAGGTTCCTTAATAATCCCAGGGCAGAACATTCAAAAGTGTAGACATCCGTGATGACCAGTGTAACGGCATAACCAGTGGGATCTCACGAAAAAAGAGGTTTTGGTGTCTTTTCTCTCTCCTTTCCTATCACCATATAGTGAGTGGTCACATCCTGTCAGAAAGCCTCCACTCATTCCTGGTTTGATGCACTGAAATCTGTTGGTCTCTCCCTTTTCTTTTTAACACTTTCATTTTCAAAAATATTCCTCTACCTACTTCACCTCTCTAGATAAAGCAACACATATTAGTTTAATACAAAGCCTGGTAATTGAGAAGTTGTCAAGTAGTTTTCTGAAGTATAAAAATCAAGGCGCTCATGAAGGTTGACAGATGACTGGATTACACTGTCAGCACTTTTCCAATCTTTACTATATTATATGTCCAGTGCCATCTCTGTCTAAGGTGTGAGGATGCAGAAGTACATAAACAGGCTCGTTAAGAAGCTTGGCAGGGGTGAAGATGGAAATGAATTATATAAAGAGAAACGGGGGCTGTGGCTTAGGAACATCATGTGAACAAGTAGTGAGTACCAGGAATAGCATGATTTAGCAAAAACAAGAAATCAGCTTAGAACTAGGATGGTGATAAACACCTATAACCCTAGAACCTAGAAGGTGGAGGAAAAAATATTGCAAGGTCAGGATCATCTTGGGATGAATAGTTGAGACCCTATCTCAAAAAATATTCTTGGGCCAGACTTGGAGCATTTCCTAAGACAAATGCTGATACTCTAGTTGATCCAGTGGAAGAATTTATAGGATTCTGGTCAAGAAAACAACATAATGATTTAGATGCTCAAGGGAGATGAATGTTGAATAATCTTGTGCATTTGGAAGGTAAACTTGGAGCTATGTGAAGCAACATGCATAGCTAGAAGATCATTATAGAAGAATGATTAGCATCTAGACAAGTCAATGGGAATAGAGGGTAAGGGGCAATTGAACATCAAATTAAATATTTTCCCATTAATTTTTTATTGCCTTCCATTCTTCTTTGCATTTCATCACAATTGAGCACTTCTTTCTTCTATTCATGATGTTTCAGTTTTATGAATTTAGCCTAGCCACAGGGGCTACCTCCTTTACTATAAATGCCTATAAAACATTATTAGTTAAATGTGACTTTCAAACACCCTCCACCATCAGTTGTTCACCAGATCTGAGCTGCTTTCTACCTTCTGTACCATGTGGTAACCTGCATGGCTTGGTGTCTGTACCTGACTAAGGGTAATGGTGGATGAGAAATGACAGACATTAAAGACATAACAGACACAGGGACACAGAATAGCTGGGGTCAGGTAGTCCATATGCACTCTCATG